AAGTCACATATAAAGGAAAACCCATTAGGATCACAGCTGACTTTTCAATGCAAACTATGAAAGCCAGAAGAGCCTGGACCAAAGTATTCCCAGTGTTAAATGACCACAGATGCCAACCCAGATTTCTGTACCCAGCCAAAATGTCTATTATAGTTGAAGGAGAAATAAAAACTTCAGTGACAAAAATAGGCTGAAGGAATTCATGTCCACAAAACCAGCCCTTCAGAGAGTTCTGGAATCAATACAAAGAGCTGAAGAAAGGAAAGACTATACCCAAGGAGTTGTGGAAAGAAATTCAATGAAGGTATAACTGGGGAAAAGTACAGCTACACCACGATTGTAAATAGAAATAAAAATGACAGGATTCAATATTCATCTTTCATTAATAACTCTAAATATTAACGGACTGAACTCCCCAGTCAAAAGATACAGACTAGGTGAATGGGTTAAGAAATAAAACCCATTTTTTTGTTGTCTGCAAAAAACCCATCTAACTTTCAAGGATCTCTCGATTTTAAAGTGAAAAGATGGAAAAAAAAATATACCAAGCAAAAGGTACTAAGAAAAAAGCAGGTGTAGCAATTCTAATATCTGACAAAATAGACTTTACACTAAAACTAATCAGAAGAGACAAAAAGGGTCACTTCACTCTGATCAAAGGAACAATAAATCAAGAAGATATTACACTCATGAACATATATTCACCAAACTCTGGTGCACCCAACTTCATAAAAACAATACTACAGGACTTTAAGACGCAGATTAATCCCAACTCATTAATAGTAGGGGACTTTAATACCCTACTCGCTCCATTAGATAGGTCAACAGGGCAGAGAGTTAACAGAGAAACATCTGAATTAAACAATACCATATATCAAATGGACTTAACAGACATCTACCGAGTATTCCACCCAAGCACCAAAGGACATGCTTTCTACTCAGCACCCCATAGAACCTTCTCCAAAATCGACCATATACTGGAACACAAAACAAACCTCAACAAATACAAAAAGATTGAAATAATTCCATGCATTCTATCAGACCACAGTGCAATAAAGCTTACAATTAACACTGGAAGGAACCCTAATCAGCACATGACACATAGAGATTAAATAACACACTCCTGAGTGATGAATGGGTCAAAAGAGAAATTAA